GAATAAACAATGAACCATCCGGATGATCTTTAAATAAAACAAATTCACATAGCATTTCCTTCGGAAAATGCCAGTACAAATTAACAAAGTATGCACCGGAATGCGCCATTAATACCTGCTGCAAAAAGACAATTTACATTCTTCCCAATTACAACAACANNACACATAATGTCTAATCCAACACAAAAAAAAAAAAATTCAATTATTTCAACAAATAACCAAAATAAATATTTCCAACAAAATAATTCTCCAAAACCCTAATACCCATAATCAACAATAACATAAAATTCATCTATATTTCGAATAAATAGAAAGTCCTAATTCTAACCATAATTCGAAAAACCCTAAGCCAAACAACAATGAATCAATACACAATTGACAATTTACAATAAATTTCCATTCCCCAATTCAACTACAAATATTCGATAAACAATTAACAATTCTCAATGTTCAAACACCACTACATTCAAACATACTATAACAATTCCCAATGTTCAAACACCACTACATTCAAACATTCTATACCAATTCCCAATTTTCAAACAACTCAAAACAATGTAAAAAATTGAGATAAGTCAATATACCTTGTGCAAAAGAATCGGGTATGCGATATGAATACGCAGCTCGCTTGCTGTTCGAGTGCTGATTCTAACCGGAAATAAATCGCTGTGAATCACCCGTTACTGCTTGTAAATCTCGCCTCTGAAGTGAGGGAAGAGAAGTCTTTTTTTATATTTGATTGTAAAACGTATTACAGGAATACGTTTTATTATTTTATTTAATTATAAAACGTATTTTCTGAATACGTTTACTTTATTATTATTTTTTTTTGTAAATTAAACTATATAACGTATTTCGGAAATACGTTTTATAATTACTATTTATGAATTGAATTCCTTCCACTTTATAGCGGAAAATTATTATTTTTTATTTTATAAAAACATTTATAAAACGTATTACCGGAATACGTTTACTCTAATAATATTTAATTAGGAAAACGTATTCCGGGAATACGTGGTTTTGATTTTTTTCCACTCTTTTTTTTTTGTTTTTGTTTTTGTCCACTTGTTTTTTTTTTTAAATAAATAAATCACCCAGTTAATATTCCTTCACTGTTTTAATTTTGCAATTATCATTTTGTTAAGTGCATATTAATTACTATAATACTAAAGCCTATGCTCGATCACACTGGACTTGATACCTCGTCAACTCCTCCACGTGTAAGCAAAAATATCTATGAACTCCCTTACCAACTCGATCAACCTCGTTCTTAATGGCTCCTCCAACTCCTTATCGATCCTCAACTTCCCGTCATCACAACCTTCCACCATCTGGATTTTTTCTACCTCTTCTCCGGGTTGAATATCCACCTTCTCATTCCCCTTATCAAATTTCGACTTCTCCTCCTTTAACCGAGAACTACTTGATCGATTCAGCACCTCTTTGTAGAGTTTGTCTTGTCTCTTGTCCATTTGCCAGTTGTTGCTCATTGTGGTTTGAGAGCAGCTCCTCGGAGTCAGTTGATCTTCTGTTACCTCTGCAACACTCTCACCCACTAGATACTTTATCGTCATGTAGAAGGTCGAACCATGGAAAGCGCTCAAGCTGGTCCTCCCCATGATGATGTTATAAGGCACCTCAGCTCATACGACCACAAACCTCACCATCTAACCTTACTAGTCGCCCTTAACTCTAGGGCGACTGGTAAAGAGATCTCCCCCATTGGCATCACCACACTTCCATTAAAACCATACAGTGAAGTTATGACCTCCTTACACTCCAAGTTCAAATGTTGGCTAATCTGCTTAAAGCAATCATAAAACATCACATCTATTGAACTCCCCGTGTAGATGAACACTTACTTGTAGTTTTTTAGCCGAGTACGATCGAAGGATCTCACTCAAGTCGTCTTCTCAAAGAAAGGTTGTTCAAAGCTTCGTTCATTATCTAGTCGTCAATTCACAGAGAACAAAGTCCTATGTTAGATACATTTTGTGAAGTTAGACAGGCGAAATGACTTCTTTTGGAATTGAGCTTCGTTTGAGAAGAGTTTATATGATTGCTTTGGTGCTAATAGCCTAATATGTCCTTTTATCCCACCTTACCTAAGTCCCATTACAACCCATTTAAACCCTTCGATTTTGTGTATTCATATTGATTCTTGGGTGGATGAGCGTGATATATTGCAAGCTTATGGTAAAATCCTTATTGTCTTGACTTGAGCGTACACTTTATATATTTAGCCTATACACATTCGAGTGCTGAGTGCATCTTGTGAGAAGTTGGCGAATCTCATGTGTTTTAAGTTATTTGATTGTTGAGGTGATTATTCATTGATGTTGGTTAATGAGGATTCTTTCTCAAGCTATGTTTTTTATGTGTGCAAAATAGTTTTGGTTGGTAACGAATGATAGATATGATTATGAGATGGAATGATGAATTTGACTTGATGCTTGAGGACAAGCATCGTTTAAGTGTGGGTGATTTGATAAGTCGTATTCTTGGCATGTTAATTATCATGTTTTCCATACTTTTTCGGTGTTTGTATGAGCTTAAATATTTAATTTAATTGATTTTTATAATTTTTGTAGGATGTCTCGGAATTTGGAATTTTACGATGATTGGAAGGCAAAAGAGACGAATTTATGTTAAGGTGTGGGTACGCTAATTTCCTACAAGACTTGGAAGAAGAAAGAAGTCTCAAGTTAGAAAAAAGAATAATAAAACCTTTAAGAGTATTTATTTATTTATGAACTATTATTATTTTACTAGTACGTACCCAGTGCGATGCGCGGGACAAAAATATTAAATGAGTTATTTTCACAGCCTTGTCCGTTTAAGTCTAAAAAGTAATAATGTTATTATCTATTTTCTACCTCTTTTAATCAACGTTAAGTCTAAAAAATTATTAAGCCGCCATCTGGCAAATATGTATGGAGTTATGTGTTCGTGTCTCATAAGTCACAAACATTAATTGTGAATAACATTACAAATTATTCATTCAAACTTTTATTCATCGCAAATATATTAAAATGGTTTATATAACAGTCATTAAATTCCACTTTCAATATATTTATAAATAAAAAGTACATAAAATTTTTGGTGTGTTCAAATTTAAATAATTTTTTATGGGCTCAATTTTAAATCATCCAGACATTTGGTCAAACGCATAAGTGTGTTCAAATTTAAATCATTGACATTTTGATCGGTTGAAATTTAAATCATCTACCATGGTATTGTGATGTGTATTATATATATACAATTTTTTAACAAATAATATGTGCTTTATAAAAATAATAATAATAATTCCACAAGATTTTAAACGTAAAATTTGGTTTTTAATCACAATAGAAAAATCATGGTAAGTTGTATTGAAAAGGTATTATGATATAAAACAATTAACTAAAATAATTAAATAAAATACTTGATGAAAATAGAATGCATTAATTACCTTTCACTTTTCTTACTACTAATTCTAGTAATTAAAATGTCTTTTTATATAAGTATAGATGTGCATGTAAAATTTTTTATACTATTTTGTAAAGAAAACATGTCTAAAAATAATTAAACTTAACATGTGTTACGTATATTTGAGTATATATATATATATGTACATATAGATAGAATATGTAAAAAATATGTCTGAACATTTTAAGTATCTAAAATATCATAAGCCTAAATAAAGACATTATCTCAAGCTAAAGTTGTTTTAGAGAAGATTTATAAGATACCATAATTATGATGTTACTTTCATATGAAGACTTACACGAGTTTGACGCGTTTTGATTATTTTTAACGGGTGTTTCGACTTATTTCGACTAGGACTCGACCCCAACTATTTAAGGAACGGTATGTCATGTTTTGGGGGTTTTTTTTAGTTTTAGAGAGTTTCTGATGCTAGGAACACGCATGCGAGAAAGCCGGAAAGAAGAGATCGATAGAATGGAATAAGCTTTGTTTTTTTTTCTTTCGAACTCATGTTTTGTACTTATTTTTTATATTTTAGATTATCTTAGATTCTAAGAATTATAATATAATCTTTATTAATTTAATTCCACTTTATCTTTTGAAACAAATGGGGTTGACGTAAATGTAACCGAATGCAGTTTGGATAGCAAAAAATAATTCCAAAATTATTAGCATAATAATAACTCTCCCATCATAAAAAATTATGCCACCAACACAAATACAGAAAAAAGTTACATAGTCTCTCCTTCTCAAAGTCTTCTTAATTCAACTAAAGTGAAGGACACCACTTTTGTGTAAAGCACATTTTGCCAGTCCCCTCTGCTACCAAACTCAACCAAACACACAAACAATAAGGAAGAAAAACTTTAAACTTTTTTTGTCATAGTCCACTAAATTGTCATTTTAATCAAAATTCGTACAAAAACCAAAATATTGTACTAAAAGTGATTGTCATTTTTAATACACTATTTTGTACGATTTTTGATTAAACATGGCAACTCAGTGGACTATTCTTGATGACACCCTATATGATGGACCTTTTCAGAAAAATGACCAACATAGTGCACGAAAAATGAAATTTAGCCTTTTTTTTTTTTCTCTAGAAAGAACAAAGGACTGAGTCTTTCTATAGCCTTATGACTTGTGTAACAAGACAAATCATATGTTTTTTTTTCCCATCACCTTTGCTTATCTCCCAAAGCACCCCAACCAAACCACTCACTCACTATGTTAATTTGTACCCTATATTCTAAATTTGCCGTTTTTTTTTTTTTTTTTT